AATCCCTGTGTCCCTGAAAGAACCAAAGAATTGTCCTGGGGACCTGATTCCCCTCATGCCTAACCCAGGCCACTATCCCATGCAGGAAGCAGTGTAGTTTGGAGCTGGCTCTGCAGCTAATCCTGTGTGACCCTGCATAGGCCATTTAGGTCCTTTGAACCTCAGTTTCCTCACTAATACCTAGAGACGATCATCCTAGCCCTGAGTCAGGGGATGGAGGAACCCAATGAGAGGATGTACTTGGGGAACATGCACCATCAGATGGAACAGTGTCCCCCATCCCAGTGAAGGGTGGCAATCCTCTATCTGTTAAGGTCGTGATAGCAAATCCTGAGGTATAGGAGGCACTGTCCATCCAGGGTCACATACTGGGCAGCTGGGAGCTAATGGAGGCAAATGAGACTTCTTCTGGGAGGCATGATTGCCCTGTCATGGGCCAGGATAGTCCTCCAGCTCTAGAAGTCATGAGGGACCTTGGAGAGAGGCCAAGAACCCTGCCCTTCTGTGAGCTATGTCCTCTGAGACCCAGGCTTTTGCCACAACCCATCTTTTCCCTAGTATAGAAAACCCTGTCCATTAGCCAGGCACCGCACGCTTGTAATCCCTCCTGCCTCGGTGGCTTGGGAGGCTGAAGCAGGAGGATCTCACATTTAAAGCCAACCTCAGCAGTTTAGTGAGGCCCTAAGCAACTCAATGAGACCCTGTCTCTAAATGAAATATCAAAAAGGGCTGGGGATGTGTCTCAGTGGCTAAGCCCTCCTGGATTCAATCCCTAGTAACCACCAAGAAAGAAAGAAAGAAAGAGAGAGAGAGAGAGAGAGAGAGAGAGAGAGAGAGAGAGAGAGAGAGAAAGGAAGGAAGGAAGGAAGGAAGGAAGGAGGGAGGGAAGGAAGGAAGGAAGGAAGGAAGAAGGGAGGGAGGGAGGGAGAGAGGGAGGGAGGGAGGGAGGAAAGAAAATAATATATAAAATATCCATTGCTACCTCTGCTTCCTCTCCAATTCCTTTGGCAGGGCCTTGTTTCCACTTGTCAATGAGCTCACACTCAGAAAACCTAAGAGGTTTTCCAAAATTCTTCCTGATTTCATACAAAACCTTAAAGTTTCTTGTTATCTGATGCCCACACAAACATTGAGAGCATTTCTGTGTCTTGGAAATGCACACTAAAAAGCCAAATGAAGAATTCCTGTTCATTCTAGTGATCGAAAATCCAAATGCTTTCATGAGCTACAGAAGATACACATGAAGAAAAATAGACACCTTTTAGATTGAATCAAATCCACAGGGCAGTATGCGTTTAGGGCACTTCCATTTAAATTAACCTCTGAGTGACAGCAGGATCTTATTCCACAAGCTTCAGGGAAGCTAACATCCATAAAGAAATCAAAAGGACAAGAAATGGCAAAGATTATTTTAAGTAAAAAGAAAGATAGATGGTGCATGCTTTCTAGCTACTGGTAAGACTGAGGCAGGAGGACTGTGAGTTTGAGGCTATCCTGGGCAACTTACAAGAGACCCTGACTCAAATAAAATGAAAGAAGTTCTCTCAGTGGTAGAGTACTCACCACTATACGTGAAGCCCTAGATTCAATCCCCAGTGCTGCCCCTACCCCACCCCACCCCACCCCCGCCCTGCAAAATAGGAGATAGAATGAGGAAAGACTTACCCTCTAGATGTTAAAACCCACAATAACACTGGTATGGTAGCTTAGGCCTATAATCCCAGCAACTCAGGAGGCTGAGGCAGAGGAATTGTAGGTTCAAAGCGAGCCTCAGCAACTTAATAAGGACCTAAGAAACTCAGCAAGACTCTGTCTCTAAATAAAATATAAAAAAGGGCTGGGAATGTGGCTCAATGGAAGTGCTACTGAGTTCAATCCCTGGTACTAAAACAAAAACAAACAAAAAACCACAATTATGATTAAGCACTAATTTTCAAAAGAAAGAGGTACCAACCATAAACAGAGGGGACAGAGTAGTTATATCAGAGAAAACCACTGGAATCTGGGGTCGTGGCTCACAGGTAGATCACCTGCCTAACATGTACATAATCCTGGTTTGATCCTCAGTACCATGAGAGAGAAAGAGAGAGAGAGAGAGAGAGAGAGAGAGAGAGAGAGAGAGAGAGAGAGAGAGAGAGAGAAATCCCCTAAATCATATAAAACAAATTCATGAAAAAACAAATTTAAGCAATCCAAAAGGAAGGCACCCATTATTTTATAAATAATGCCGAGGAAACTGGATATCGTTGATCTAAATTTGGTCATATTTTATTAATGAGGAAACTGAAGCCCAAAAGATTTAAGAGACTCCCACCTCCACCATGACACTCTGATTTCCTAGTGGGCTCCAGCTTACTACCTACCACTTGCTAAGGCTGCATGCAAGTATTTCTTCCTTCCTGCTCAGGACTCTGGATTTCTCCACAGCTTAAAGATGACCATGAACAAGACAGGGCTTCTGATGCTCAGTGGTCCAGACAAAGTCACCATCAGCCTCTTGTCCTTGGATGACCCTGGGAAGGGTCTCCTGCTCCTTCTGCGGGACACTGACCATTTCTCCAGCCACGTCAATGGGACCCTAGGTACTCTACCCACAGCCTGGTCTTAGGACATCCTCAGAAACCACCTCTGCCCCCAAACAGGCAGTGGTCCTCACCGCCATGTGTTTCCCAGGCTCTCTGTCATTATCCCTCACTGACCCACCCTTTATGTTTCAGGCCAGTTTTACCAGGACGTGTTGTGGGAGACACCAGAAGGGGCAGACGACAACAAACGGATACTGAAGGTTCAGGGAAAGGACTATTCTGCTACCAGGTGACTCAGCACAAGCAGGCCACTCAGCCTGACCAGGGTTGGGGGGGACCATGAAGCTTAGAGTTGGACTATGCAGAACCCCACTCCTTCTGTCCTCATTTAGGAACTAGAAACAGTTGAAAGGTTGATAATGTAGGTGAGTCTGGATCAGCTGACCCCACAAAGGATGGTCAGGTCAGACCCACAGAAAGTACACCAGCCTGAAGATTGGTTGAGGGTAGTAGGACTCTCCTTGCTCTCACCTCCAACTCTCAGAGCCCTAGACCCTGGAGACCATACACACTGGGTCTCATGGGTAACATTTTGGGTGACTAGGTCTTGACTTGTGCTCGAGAGACTGCTAAAGGGACTCTGGAATTGCACACCTTCCATGCTCCTATCCCCAACTGTCCCCCTCTGTTTCTAACCACACCTGAGATTTGCTGATCATCTGTCCATCTGTTTGTCATCTACCCATTCCAGAGAGCTCAAGTTGGATTACCAAGAGGGGCCCCCAGGAAAAGAGATTTCTTGCTGGTCTGTGGAGCTGTAGTTCTGACAGAAGAATCCTGTACCCTGCTGCAGGGCCACCTATGGGGTCTAGATCACAATGCAGAGGGGGATTCCTACTGGTTTCAAATAAAGAAAGGTGGCATGAACTCAGAGAATGGTGTCTCTCATTCCAAGCAGACAAATCCCAGGTCCTCGATCTCCCATCCTGGACAGTTAGCCTCATACAGCGTTAGAATCTTCTACTTTGGGCCCTGAAGGGGGCCTGTGGCCACTGAGGCCCATGGAAAGCTTTCATCCCTGTTACCTTGTTTTGCAGATAAGAAAATTAAGACTAAGCCACCCATTAAAAATGCTGGTCCAGGGGGGCTGGGGTTGTGGTTCAGCGGTAGAGCACTTGCCTACATGGGTGAGGCACTGGGTTTGATCCTCAGTACCACATATAAATAAATGAATAAAATAAAGGTGTATCAACAATATATATATATATATATATATATATATATATATTTTTTTTTTTTTAATGCTGGTCCAGTGCTCAGCAAGGAACCCACAGCTGAAGAATGTTCTCCAGGAAGAGTGGAAACAAGTTTTGATTAACAAAACAAACATGAACTGGGTTAACCTGTTCTTCCTAGGCTAACTCCCAAACTCTCCCAGTGAGTTTAGGGGCTCTTTGAATGGAATTTGCTTTACACTAGTCAATTTTCACTCCTGGGCTCAGGAACAGGCCTATTTGCTCCCTACCTGGCAAAGAAGCTAGCACTGGAAGATAAGGGAGATAGAGCCAAGGCCCAGCAGCCTCTCTCCATATAGGGTAGTCTGGGTCTTCAACTCTAAATCCTGTGCCATTGAGGGAATCTATTCCTGTTTACATTAGGCATCCCCAAGATTCCACTCAATCCCTCCGCATGCAAAGCATACTGGAAATAAAAAATGTATTCTTAGAGTCTGCCCTTTGTATCTGCCCTTTCTTTCTCTGCAGATTCAACCAACCATGAAACAAAAAAAAACTTTAAAAAAATTGCAACCTCAGCAGCTTGGGAGTCTGAGTCAGGAGGATTGGGAGTTCAAAGCCAGCCTCAGCAACTTAGCCAGGCCCTCAGCAACTTAACAAGACCCTGTCTCTAAATAAAATATTTTAGAGAGGACTGGGGGATATTGCTCAGTGGTTAAGGCCTCTGGGTTCAATCTCTGGAACAACAACAAAAAAGCATCTGTATTGAATAGATAGAGACTTTAAAAAAATCATTATTCCCTAAACAATTCAGTGTAATACATATAAATAAATAGTATTTGCATTGTATTAGACATTGCAAGTAACCTGGAGATGATCTGAAGCATACTGGAGGATGTGAGCAGGTTTTACGCAAACACATTGCCATTTTTTTATGAATGACTTGAGCATCCACAGATTTGTACCCTTAGAAGGTCCTAGAACCAATCTTCTGTGGTTACTGAGGGCATGTCTTAAAAGAAAAAAAAGACATGATCTATGGTTTACAAATAAGTAGCACAAAGAGAATAAAACAAACAAACAAACAAAAAAAAAACATGACTATGAGAATAAAAGAAAAGAGACAATCACCAGGGTAGGGGACTGCAAATAGACCACAAAGCTTTGCTCTGAGCTTCCTGGCAGTCAGGGTGAAGCAGAAAGTAAATTCATTTGCTTGCTAAAAGGAAAAGACAAATCATCAGGGAAACATTCTTTTCTAGCCCTTGAGGTATAGAATCTTTCTAGAAAGGTCAGAGATCAGGCCAGTGGGAAGGATCTTCAGCAGCAGGTTTGCCCCACACAAACATTCTTCCTTGCTCTTCTGCCCCCACTCCCAGGGAAGGTGGGGGTTCTCGGGCTGTTTCTCTGTGAGGGTCTCTTGGAGGGGCTCAGGCCAGAAGTTGGCAAGATGAGAGAACAGCTTGTGGGGCTAGAAAGAGACATACAGAGATGAAAGGACCGCCCAACTCAAGCTCATGGAACACTGACCCATGGCCCAACTGCCTGGGCTGGGCAATAGCAGACCCAGACTACCCCGGTTGTGGCCCTGCCAGCACCTGCAGGGTGGGTATCCCGTGTGCAGTTGAAAGCAGGTCTATATCCTCCCTTTCATTCACAAGCTTCTCTCCAACACCTACTTGAGCCAGGCCCTGGGCTGGTCCCGTGGATACATTGGGCATGATGACAGACACAGTGCCCTTTGTGACAGCCGTCACCCAGCACATGATCAAGTGCTTCAGGAGCCTAAGGGGAGACATCTCAGCCAGACTAGGGATGTCAGGGAAGCCTTCCTGGAGGTGGAGATGTTGGGTTGAAATTTGAAGGATAAAAAGTAGTTAGCCCAGTGGGAGACAGGAGGGCAGGGACACTGGCATGTTCCTAGGCCCAGAGCCAGAGCCCTGTGCACTGAGTTCAGGGAAGGGGGAGGAAAAGCAGCCGTGAAGAGAGGACCAGACCTGCTCAGCCTACATATGCCTCACGGAGCATGGCCTTGGTCCTGAAGGCCGAGCTGGAAGCAGGGTCCAGCAGAACAAGGACAATGTGGACGGGGAGAGGATGTCTGCCTGGATTTTGCCTGCGAGCATCCCCCTGCCCCAGTGTTTGGAGAGGGGTGGGGTCTGGGCTGGCCCCTCCCCTTGCCCATCTCCCAGCATTGTGCCTTGGTTGCTACCTGGACCAGCAGGGTAGAGATGGTGCCTCAGAAGGACCAGAAATGATGTGAGGATGTCTTTCACCACCCTGCATCCAGCAGGATCTTCCTCCCCATCATGGATGTGAAAACTGACCTCATGATATAGGCTCAGCATGTGGCTCCTTAACCCATTCAGGGTGGAGTGGGATAGCAGGGCCTGCACACTCTAGAGGGTCCCTTCACACAGGTTTGGACCTTTCAGCTGGTCCAGCCCAGACCTCTGCCACATTCACCCTGGGCTTTCAGTTTGGTGGCTGTATCTCATGAGCCACCAGACTGCCAGTAGAGTCCCACAGCCATCTGGGAGTAGCCTTTCCTTCCTTCTAGTCCCCTCTCCACAGTCCTAGAGCAGTATGATCTCTAGATAACATTGCTTCTGGCCCGAGGAGTGAGGAGCAGCTGTGGGTCCCCTGAAGTGGGAGGTAGGACAATTCCTATGACCATAGCCACATGCCATCCCCCACCGACATTCAGGGCTTTCCCCAGTTTGAGTCCAACCTCCTCCAGCCTTATTGTGTCCCCTGCTCTGCCACCTATCAAATCACTCACTGCTTCCTTCACCAGTGTCCCCTATGCCCAGCATGCCCTTAGACCCCAGGCAGAGAAAACTGTACAGGCAAAGGATTTGGGGCAGGTCAGGTCACCTTTGCATAATTTGAAGGAGACTGTATATCTGGAATCCAGAAAGTTCGGGGAAGTACTTGGTATGTAAGGGGAAGCTAGAGAGGCCAGAGGAAGGACTTTTGTCCCAAGAGCATTGGAGGGGAGATATCATCTGTGGGATTTAGGCAGGGAGAAATGATCAATTCTTCTCTGAAAAAAAAAAAAAAAAAAACCTCTCTCTGGTAGGCAGTGATGGAGGCCCAGGAAGAGCAGATGTTCAGACTGCAGATCTTTTACAGCCCCATCTCCAGGAACTTCTCTCTGCTTTCCCACCCCACCCCAGACTGATTGGGATGGAGAGAAAGGGGTCATATGAGCTGACTGTAGGATCCTAGAAAGTCTGGGCCCAGATGAAGGCAAACTTGAGCAGATTCCAGCCCAGGGTATTATATCTGCTGAATCAATGGATGGGTCAATGGATACATGGATGGATAGATGGTTAAAGGGATGGATAGATGGCAGGACCAATGGGTTGTGAGTGGATGGATGGATGGATGAAAAGATGGTTGTAGGGATGGAAGGATGGTAGAATGAATGAGTGAGTGAATAGATGGATAGATGGATGGATGGTGGGTGGAGGGGTGGTACGATAATTTGGACCTGATGTGTCCCCCCCAAGGCCCATATGTTAATGGCTTATTTGTCAGCCAGTGGCACTCTTGAGAGGTAGTGGGATGTTTAGGAGGTGATTCTAGCATCTAGGAGGAGGCTGGATTTCTGGAAGGCATGCCCTTGAAGGGGATATGGAGATGCTGGCTCCTTCTTCTCCTTCTCCTTCTCCTTCTCTCTCTGCTTCCTGGACTCCATAAGGTGACCAGAGTGCCATGCACTCCCATCATGATGTACTATGTCACCACAAGCCCAAAGTGATGGGGCCAAGTGTCCATGGTCTGAAGGCTCTCAAACCATGAACTAAAATAAAACTTTGTTCCCTTAAGTCAATTACCTCAGATATCTGTCACAGCAACAGAAAGCTGACTTAACACAGGTGGATAAATTGAGGGGTGGTTGATAGCACCACTTAGATGTGAGCTATGTCTGCCCTGTAGCACTTTCTACCTCTGAATGTCCTGATAGGAGCTCCTGAGCTGTGACCCCTAACCTTTCTTTTGGTGTCACTAGATTCTGAAATGCACTCCACCCTTCCTGAATCCCTTGGCTCCAAGAGTCAATTATTTATTTTTTCCCTTCCCAAATCATACATTTCATTCCCCAGACACGGTTTCTCAGCTGTATCAGTTCCCTGCCTACCATCCATCCCCTCCTTTGGACTACTTTGGGTCCAACTTTGGGTTCCTTGGATCAGGGGCTCATGAAGGCACGCAGAGGCAGCTGTATGATTTCCATGTTGCACTTTATTGTTCCAGGCCCTTCTACAGGACCCATTCTACACCCCTATTTCCAAAGAAGAATCTCGATAAGCGTTGCCATGTTTCCTCAGAACAGGTTGGGGACGATATAGTCAGTGTGGATGCCATCAATCAGCCCTTCCCCATTGTTGTGGACAAACCAGCACGCGACCTTCATGCCAACACTGGCGTCCTTTCTGTAGTCTTTCTGGGAGCCCCTGGGAGAAAAGAGAGAGGTGCTATCATAGGTAGGCAAGATGGCAGCGGCATGGGCCTAAGATTGGAAAAAGTGTGAATTTAGAAATTATTTGTAGGTATGTGGGTGCGTGCAGGTATGTGTAGGTGGGGTGAGGGATTGAACCGAGGATCTCACACATGCTAGGCAAGTGCTCTACCACTGAGTCAAGAATTTGGAAATTCTAAGAGTCTATAATTTTTTGGTCAAGAATGAGGTCACATGATTATTCTTTCTAGAGAGCAGAGATTGGGCTTTTCCTTGATTGGGAGGGGCCTAAAGAGAGTCAAGACCTCCAAGTTCTCTAAGGGTCCTCCATAGAGAACAAGAGCCCACCAGGTAAATACACCTGGACAGAGAGCACTCTTTCTTCCTGTCTTGTTGCTGGGTAGGATGAGGGGGCCCAAGGTGTCTCCTTACCTTGTGACAGTCAACCGATGGTTCTTCACCACCATTGTGGCATCTGGCTTTGTGGGATCAGAGCCTGGGTGGATGTCAGACACTTTAAAGTCAAAGGGGTGGAAGAATTGTCCTGGAAATGAAAACATTCACCCTGTCAGTCCCTGGCCAAGACCACGGGTAATGTGGCCTCTGGCCTTTCAGAATGGATGCAGAAGCTGAACAGCTGAATTGAGGGATCGTGGGCTGGGTCCAGCATGACCAGGACGGCCTTGTGCATGCATTTCCCATGCTGCCACGTGAGTAGCCTGCCGTCTGAACACTCCATACCTAGTAGCCCATGAGTCTGTGCTGACATCCGGTGACTGTCCACCACGTAGAAGCCTAGAAAGTCGTAGTGACCTGGAAGTTTCTTCCACACCTGGTGCAGGACAACCACAAATGTGACCCCGTCACCAAAGGAGATCACCATGTTCTTCTTCCTGTTGATTGTCACGGATATCCTAGAGAGAAGAAGAGGTGGCTGTGAAGCCCTTGACCACAACACAGGTCATCTGAATCAAGGACATCTCAGCAAGGACTTCAGAGCACATGGCAAATGAGAGCACAGACTCCAGGCACTGCTTCAGGAGTACTGGAAAGAGGGTGCCTCGTGCCTGCCCTCTACACCCTCCACAGAGGGCAGCGTGGCTCCTCCTTAAGCAGGAGAGAGGGCCACCCTGGGATCCAGAGGCCTGGGGCTCAGCTCAGCCACAGACTTCCTGTGTGACTTTGGGTAGGTTGCACTCCATCTCTGAGTCTCAGTGGGAGTAGCATTCCTGCCCTGCCCACCAGGCTCTGAGGGATCTAAAGACATAGAAAAGTCTAAGGGACTTGAAAATTAACAGCTTCAGACAGAGAAGATGCAAGTGGCGGTAGATGCTATTGCTTTATTTTTATTTATTAAATTAAATTAATTAATTTATCTGATACTAGAGATTGAACTCAAGGACACCTAACCACTGAGCCACATCCTCAGCCCTTTTTTAAAAACATGTATATATTTTATTTAGATACAGGGTCTTGCTAAGTTGCTTAGGGCCTTGCTAATTTGGCTGAGGCTGGCTTTGAACTCGTGATCCTCATACCTCAGCCTCCCAAGCCGCTGGGATTACAGGCACATGCCACTGTGCCTGGCTTATTTTTATTTTTTTGAGACAGAGTCTCACTACGCTACTAAGGCTGGTCTTGAACTCCTGGGCTCAAGGAGTCCTCTTCCCTCAGCCTCCTAAGTAGCTGGGAATATCGATGTGTACCACCAACTCAGTTTTCATCTAATGATTTCATCCAACCAGCCTGTCCCTCACACAGTTCTACAAACTGTCCAGCTGCTAATTCTGCCTCTGATATGGGCCCCAGGAGTTGGTTGGGGGGCACTGTGGTTACCTTCCCCTAGGGACTGAACTGCAGTCTCTCTGAAGACCTCTGGATATTTGACCCTTAGAGTCCTAGCTGGAGGACCTTACCCATCCTGTGTGACGGTGGCTGTGTCTAGCCAGCTGAAAGTGGTTGGCTCATCCCCATTCCACAGAGTGATCTTCTCTGTCGTCACCTCCATCCGGAAGTCCATCTGAGTGTTGGTAATGCCCAGTTTCCCAAAGAAAGTCTTTCTGCTGTTGGCGGCTGTGCTGTCTCTCTTGTCGCCAATGATCTGCCCATTAACAGTGAGACCTGCCAGAGGGATAGGGAAGGGAGAGAGACCAGCGAGGCCCTCTGAGTCCAGACTGGCCTTTAGGGATGTGCCTTCCCCTTCAACGAGACCTGCTG